GCGGCGCGGAGCCGCCCACCCGCCTCTTATATAGGGGCGGGCTGGCCCACTGCGCGCCGCGGCGGGGGGAAAGGGAGGAGCGGGGCAGGACCAAAGCGCGGAGGGGGAGGTGGGGGGCGCGGCGGTGGGCGGGGGTCGGGGCAGAGCCCGGTGGAGGCCGGGGGATGGGGGGGGATACGGCCCGACCCCACGCCGGGTCCCGCTGCCTGGGTGGGATGGAGGACCCCGTCTCCCCCTCACGTCGGTGCGGAGAAAGCGCTAGAAGCGGCGGCGCCGAGGTCGGGCCCCCTCGCCCCCCGTGGGGACAGCCATTCCCGGGGGCGACGAGTGTCCCCACCGGCACCGCCACCCCAGCCCCACAGCTCTGCTTTGTCCTGGCAGCCTGAGTCTGCACTTCTCAGGGCCCGGCTGCCTGTGCGGGGCGTGATGTGCGGGGCGTGATGCACGGGGCGGTTGGGACAGTCACCCTCAGCATTGGGTGCCCATCTTTTAAATTTCAGTATGGTTTTAAAGCCCCCACGCAAGCCACCCGTCTGCTGGTGGCATCTCTGCAGCTCCAAGCGGTTCCTGGACCCGCCCAATGAGGTTGGTTATAAAATAATGGGCTTTTTATCTTTTATTCATGACCTGACAGTCTCTCCGCGCAACGTCTTTGGGCTAGAACGTCCCTGCGCGCGGGGAAACGAAGCCAACCTCCTCGAAATGCTGGAAATCAGGTGGAGTGATGTCAGATCGGACTGGTGAACAGCCAGGTGGGAGCCTTGGGGACCACCCAGGGATGCTCCACAGCTTCCTTGCAAACAGTGGCCCTACTGACCAAAGCAGTCGGCTGGATGTCTGCAGTCTGCCTGGTTTCAAAGACCTTCTTCCTTTGGTTTTCCACCCCGTTTCAGAATGATTTGGCCCCCGGGGCAGCAAAATTTCTAAGTTCCTGCCTGATTTCAAGCACATTTTGAATCAGCTTTAGATCTACTGCACTGTAAGTTAGCGGGGGATCATTCACAGCGGGTGGTTGCACACTCGTGTGTTTGAATTGAGATCTATTTATCATCTTTACTCCATTTACAATGAGCTCTCGGGGAAAGAACGTTAGTTTAATCTTTGAAATATGGTCATAAAAGGTTCAAGATACAGGGTCACATTGATTCTACCCATGACAAGTGAAGAAAAGGCAGGATAGTGAGTATGAGGGTTTTGTATTTCATGTGCAAAGCTGGGATGTTTCCAGGCAGGATAAAGCCTTGAGCAATCTGGACTGATCTCGTAGCCAACCAGGCTTTGAGCAGGAGGTGGGTCCAGAGACATCCTGAGAGCCCTTCCAACCTGAAGGATTCCGTGATCCTGTGATTCAGTCTGTCATGGTAAAGGGAAGAGCAGTACACGCTGCTCAATACCAAAGATTTCTGGGGAGGAAGGTTTACAGTAGATGCCAGTATCATTTATTTGTATTTTTTCCCCTTATGTTTTAGCTGAACACAGTCACTGATACCTAGAAGAAAGCTAAAAATGGCCTAAAATATTTGTTTTCTATATAGTATCTCTGACTATCTTTCCTTTTGCCATCAACTCTTCATGCACTGTAAGATGCAAGTATAGCAAAGCCACCTGAATGAACAAATATGATGCTAATGGCCCCTGATACGGATGGAGGAGAGACTGTGTGCAGCTCCTCTGAGAGGATGGCAAAGCACCATCTTGCAGCCTACAAAAGAGAAGGCTAAAAATGGCAAGAAAAGTCCTGCTTCTGAATTGCTCAGTGGCAAATGGTGGTTACGACTCCAGCCTGGCTGGGCACAATACAGAAACATCTCTGCTACGTATATAACCTTTTGGCAGATTTCTTTCTGTGCAGAACTCGGGGGTAATATTTACCTTCGTTCCATGTTTCAGTTGGAGGTTAACATAAGGAAGAACCTCACCTAGAACTAAGGGCTCTTTCTGAGTTCAGAAGGTCCCCTAACAAAGGTAGCTATGACAAGCAGGGTGGTGTAGGAGACAAAGCTGGCCTTATACAATGCAGAGCTCCTGAAATGGAAGCTGAGGTTGTAAACTATTCTTTAGAAAATAATTTTCCTAGTGTCCTGCCAAAATCTAAGCCCTGAGGCAGTCCAAGTCCCCATCTTCAGCTGCACTATCTGCACCTGCCTAGCAAACGCCTCAGACCTGCGCCTTTCTTCATTTTCTGGTAATATGACTGACTCCCCAAAAGAAGGAGCCCAAACCCACTCCCTACTCCTTACCCCCCAGACAAATCACCAATGTTCATATCTGGCTGGTGGTGCCCAGGGCAGTGGGATGCAGGTGCATGGTGGTGCAGGTGCTGGAGCCACAGCTCCAGAATGTCACCCTTCTCCCAGTAACTGCCCATTTGCACTTACCCTACAGTGAGTTATTTGAGGGTGCCAGAGCCCTGCAACAGGCTGCCCAGAGAGGCTGTGGAGTCTTCTTCTCTGGAGATATTAAAAACCCATCTGGATGACTATAAAGGGAGACTATGGGACCTGGTTCAGGTGTAGAGGTCTACAGTGGTGCCACCGGCCTTCTGGTGGATGAATCCAACCTTAACTACCTGGTGATGAGAGAAGGATACATATTCTTACCTTGCAGCTCACCATAATTAATGTTACGATAATGATGTATGATGGAGTATGCATTATGGCATATAGCAAGGACAGGCTTTACTTCTGCATGATGGGCTTTTAGCCTGGTAGATACGTGGCTGTGAAACAAGTCAATTTCCTAGCATTTGGCAACTGCTGTACAGCTGGTAACTGGAATGCTAATAAACCACCATCCTTATTTTCCACCACTAACATTTGCCATGTTAATGTATCTGCATGGCTGTGTCATTGTAAAGGACAGATGTAAGGGAATTGCCCTTACTGCATTTGCATATAGGTTCCACCACGTGGAGAGAGAGATATATATTGTATTCTCTCTATCAGTGCTATACCAC